AGAATTTTTTTTAGACTGCGTGCGCGCATGACAAGAAGAAAGGGCGCCGATATTTAAAAAAAAATAAAAATACTCTCTAAGAAATTACTTAATTATAATTTTTTTTTTTTTTAATTAATTACACAATTAATTTTTTTCTTAAAAAATAAATGAGCGCTATGAGGCGTGCACTTTTGGATTTTCCAAACTTTTTTTTCCAGTAGCTGCTTTGTAGTCCGCTTTTAATTTTAATAAAAGCTTTCCTGGTCTACTATCTGCTGATTAAGCGAGTCACTTGGTTCACTCGACTCTTTTTTTTAATCTCAAAATCTGACGGGACACCCTGGGACCTAATCTCCGCCAATATTGACGCTCTGTCAGCTGGAGACTTAAATGCGTTCTGTAAGTTTAATATATATTAGTAAAAAATAATTAAGAATTATTAAAAAAAATTTTTTTTCTTACTTTTATTCCACAGATGGAAGATGAAAAAATAAACTGGCCACGTGGTCTCTCAACAAGTGAGTAATGAATGTAAATGCAAAATGCATCATTCCTAGTCGCTCGTTTTCAGTGATAAAATCAGTCACGTGACAGTACTTGAAATTTCCCGCAATTCCAATATTTGACGCTGCATTAATTTATTGTGCAATTAAAAGCGCTCAAAATTGAACTTATTACGTTTTTGATTAATAAATGAAACTTTATTTTATTTCTAATTACAATTACATCCACTCTGAATAATTAAATCTTTCTTTCACCTTTCAACTGTCTTGAATACAAAAACCTAAATCCAATTTTGAATTAAAAAAAAAGATAAATTTTTATCAACAATTCCAAAAATACAAAACTAAATAACTTTTTCCAAAAAGCGTCCAGTACTCCCGCTTTGCTTCCACAATTTTCAATAAATTTAGAAATAATACTGAAGTTAGCTGTCAATTTTTTAAATTTTGAGAACAAATCTACAATAAAAAACATTGTTAAAAAAAAAAATTTGCACAGATAAATTTTTTTTTAATTTTCACATGTGTAATTTTTGAATAAAATTTTTTTAAAAATAATTTAATTGCTTTTTTTTAAAAAAAATTCTAATATCAGCCAACTATTAAAATTCAGTAGACAACACTGAAATTTTTATTTAAATATTTTGGAAAGGTTGATCGTATAATCTCTATACATATATTCTATTTTTTTTGTCAATTTAAAAAAAAAATTGAAAAATTATTTAAAAAATTAAATTTTTACAAACTCTATATTTAAAAAAAAAATAAAATTAAATTCAAAACGTCAAAAAAATCAAAGCTTAATATTTTATTATATAAAAATATATTCTATCCTAAAAATTTTTTCAATTTTTTTTTTTTTTTTCTTAAAATTTCTTTTATTATATTACTTAAAAAACAATACGGCTGCCCAATTTCAAAATACAGTAACTAACATTTAGAAATTTTTCTTATTAAAAAAAAAGTTTGCCTGCCAAATCGATGAAAAATTTTATTTATGAATAGAAAATATTTTTAAGGAAAAATACTTGAAATTAAGGTCTAAAAGTTATAAAAAATGCAATATTAAAAAAAATTAGGTATAAAAATTTTCCAGTTACTGTGTTTTAAAATTGGGCAGCTGATATATTATATTTTGTTTTTTGTCAATTTAAAAAATTAAATTTTTACAAACTCTATAATATTTAAAAAAAAATAAAATTAAATTCAAAACGTCAAAAAAATCAAAGCTGATTATTTTGTTACATAAAAATATCATCCTAAAATTTTTTCAATTTTTTTTTCTTAAAATTCCTATTAATACTTGAAAAAAAATAATAAATCAGACTTTCAATATATTTTAATATGAAACTTTATTTTATTTCTAATTACAAACAATCTCTCTGAATAATGAAATCTTTTACTTTTGAACCATCTCAAATACAAAAACCTAAATGCAAGTATAAATTAAAAAAAAAAAAAGGTCTCTATCAATCAATAATAATTTCAAAAATAAAAAACTAACTCAATAACTCCTTCCAAAAAGCGTCCAGTACTTGGCTTTTGACCCACACTTCGGATGAATACACCCCAACTTCTCAACAGCCTGCCCCTTGGGTTGTTCAAAGGGAATACAGAGTCCCTTAGCGCCCATAAGGGGAGCTCCCGCTTCCTCAGCTTCATCCCTAGCACTGTCCTTTTTGATCTCATCCTCGCACTCAATCCTCCCACAGAACGGCGCAAGGATCAAGTTCTTCTTATCCAAGTGTCCACAAAAAGCGCTCCAATCCTGACAATGTTTCAAATGACCATCCAACTCCTTCTTAGCCTTGTCATACATGCTCCTCTGGACACTCTCCAACAATTCTTTCGCATACTTACAAACGACTTCTTGCTTCGCAAAAGATTTCTCCAGAGTATCACGCCTGACAAAAGTAACCTGCGACTTTTCCAGATCTTTAAAGCCCAATTCAACTCTTAGCGGGACTCCCTTGAGCTCCCAATGATTGAACTTCCACCCGGGACTATAATTATCCCTGTAGTCCCCCTTGACCAGCAACCCACCATTAGCAAGAGTCTTCTCCAGCTTCTCGCACTCTGTCATCAGAGTCTTGCGCTCTTCTGCAGTAGTAGTCGCAGTAATTCCGCAAGGAATCACCACAATTTGCACAGAAGCTACTTTAGGTGGAAGAACAAGTCCCTTGTCATCACCATGGACCATGACCATGACTCCAATAGTTCTGGTGGTCAATCCCCATGAATTTTGGAACACAAAAGTCTTTTCAGTTCCCTCCTCAGCTCCCTCAACTTTGATATCAAACATCTTAGAAAAATTCTGCCCCAAATGATGGCTAGTAGCGCCTTGAATAGCTCGTCCACTAGCCGAAACAAAAGCTTCCACTGTAGTGGTATAATCTCCACCAGCAAACTTTTCCTTTTCTGTCTTCCTACCTCTAACCACCGGAATCGCAAGATACTCTTCATAAATCCTAGCGTATAATTCCAAAATGGTCATAACTTCCTCATCAGCTTCAGGCTTGGTCAAAAACGCAGAGTGACCTTCCTGCCAAAGAAACTCTCTAGTTCTCAAGAACGGCTGAGGATGTTTGAACTCCCAACGAACGACATTGTTCCACTGATTGAGCTTCAGCGGTAGATCACGATAAGATTGGATCCATTTTGCATAAGCGGGATACATAACTGTCTCAGAAGTTGGACGAATTGCTATTGGCTCAGCTAGCTCAGAATCTCCGGACTTGGTAACCCAGGCAACTTCGGGAGCAAAGTCAGCAATGTGAGTCTTTTCACGCTCCAGCACTGCTTTGCTCACAAAAATAGGAAAGTAGCAATTTTGGACACCTAGTTTTTTAATTTCACTATCAAAAAAGTCCTTGATCTTGTCCCAGATCGAATAACTCCAGGGCCGGAGGATATAGCACCCAGACACATCATAGTACTCGATCATCTCTCCCTTGGTGATCACCTGGGAATACCAATCAGGTAAATTTTCAGCTTTTTTAGCTTCTAAACCCAACCTAGTACCAGTTTTGGTACTTTCGGCTTCTTTGGAAGCTTTTGGAGCCTGTTTGCTAGCTTTAAGAGCTTCTGGAGCTTTGGCTTTCTTCTTCTTGTCCTCTACAGGCCCGGAAGAGGAAGGCTTCCAATCCTCGCCATTAGCTGCCTTGTAATCTGCCTTAAGCTTCAGAAGAATCTTAACATTCTCATCAACTGTCGCTTTGTCAGCTTTAGCAGCTTTAAGCTCCCGAACTTTGTTACCCTGGTCAACAATCTGCTGGTTCAAATCTTCGTCCTGTTTTTTCGGCATGTTCTGGCTGTTTTTCGCGTCTTTAGCTTCCTTAGTACCCTTCGGAGTCGCCTCTGGCTTCCAATCTTTGCCCGTAGCTCCCTTATACTCAGCTTTTAAACTCAGTAAAATTTTAACGCTCTCGTCAATAGTAGCTTTGTCAGCTTTGGCGGATTTTAACTCTCTAACTTTGTTTCCCTGGTCTACAATTTTTTGATTCAAAAAATCAGATGAACCAGATTTATTCTGGACTTCTTTAGTGTCTTTAGGAGTCGCCTCAGGCTTCCAATCTTTGCCAGTAGCTGCTTTGTACTCGGCTTTTAAGCTCAGGAGAATTTTAACGCTCTCGTCAACAGTAACTTTGTCAGCTTTAGCTGCTTTTAACTCGCGAACTTTGTTTCCCTGGTCTACAATCTTCTGATTCAAAGAATCAGCTGGTCCAGATTTGTTTTGAATTTCTTTAGTGTCTTTAGGAACCGCCTCAGGCTTCCAATCTTTGCCAGTAGCTGCCTTGTAGTCCGCTTTTAATTTTAATAAAAGCTTAACACTCTCGTCAATTGCTGCCTTGTTGGCTTTTGCAGCTTTTAACTCTCGCACTTTATTTCCCTGGTCTACTATCTGCTGATTAAGCGACTCACCTGATTCACTCGAGTTTTTAATCTCAAAATCTGAAGGATTCAAGTCAGCCTTCCACTCAACTCCCGTCAAGGTTTTGAAATCCGCTTTTAGAGCCAGCAGAGCTTTGACTTCTTTCTCGACTGCTTCCTTATCTGCCTTGGAAGACTTCAAACTCCTGATCTTGTCACCCTGGGACTTAATTGCCGCCAATATTGACGCTCCGTCAGCTGAAGACTTTACTGCGTTCTGTAAGTTTAAATATATTAGTAAAAAATAATTAAGAATTATTTAAAAGTAATTTTTTTTTTACTTTTATTCCACAGATGGAAAGACAAAAAGATAGTTAAGCCACGTGGTTTGATTAAGTGACTAGTGAATGTGAATGTGGATGCATTCTATTTTTTTTTTATTGTGTACCGTTATAACTCTGTTGGTAAGAAAGAATTGATGAATAAGCAACTTACCGCTTTACTTTTGTTGCTCTCTTTGATATTAACTTCTTTAGGTGCTGACGCCACAGGGGAACTGTTGGTGTGTCCATCAGGGATGTAGAATAAAATCAGAGGTCTTTCTCTGCTGGTCAGGTCACTCATTGGTCCATACGGTACATCACAGCGGAAGAATCCTTTACGCTGAAGCTGTATTATTTGGCCCTGCTTCACGTTCTTTAATTCTGACTCTCCCAGCATTTTTATTTCTTTCTATAAAAAAAAAAAAAAAGAATTTTTTTTTAAACATTGAATACAATTTTTTAATTAAAAATTAGGTAATATTCTTAAAGATTATAATAAGCAGGATTCTTCATTTAGATTTTAAAATAAGAATTTTGTTGAATTTTATAAAAAAATATTTCATCATTTTCTTTTAAGACTAATCAGAAAGCCGTAATTTAAAAATTGAGATTTTTATAATCAGCAAAAAATTAAATTATTCATTATGAATTTTAATGTTGGAATTACAGTGAATATATTGGTCTTTTAAAAATATTTTAAAATAAAAGTTGTTTGAAATTTAATTTTATAAAAAAATGTCCTAGAATTTTCTAATTAGAAAGTTGTAATTTAAAAATTGAGATTTTTATAATTAGCAAAAAATTGAATTATTCATTTTGAATCTTAGTTTTAAAATTATAGTGAAAATAATGTTTTTTTTAAATAAAAGTTGTTCAAAATTTAATTTTATAAAAAAATGTCTCATAATTTTCTTTTAGAACCAATCAAAAAGCCATAATTTAAAAATTGTGATTTTTATAATTAACCAAAAAATGAATTATTAATTATGAATCTTAATTTTGGAATTCCAGTGAAAGTATTGGTTGTATAAAATTATAAGATATTTTTTTTTTTTAATTAAATTTCCTACAACTGTTGTTTAAAAACTTTCTTTTAAGACCAATATTTTCGCCATAATATCAAAATTAAATCCATCAACTCCAAAAAAAGACAAAAGATATCTTAGCTTTAATTCTAATAAAATAATAAAAAAAATAAAATAATTAATTAATTATAAAAAAAACTTACCCTAGTATCTTTAGCAATAAAGTCCTTAAAATCATCATCCTTCCCTAGTACATTCTTGCTAATAATATGATCAAAATAAACCGCAACACAAGGAACCAAATCACCCTCCTTCTTATAATCATCTTTATCCCCCTTTTCCGCCAACCAGGTCAGCTTCACAGTATTTTTATAATCCTTGTCATCTAGCTTAAGCCTGGCGTCAATTTCAGTAATCCTACCATCAACCTTTTTAATATTTTCAATCATCAGATTCCCCCAAGAAATAAAAGTGGCTTTTTCTCCAGATTTAAGGGTATCAGCATCAACCCTCTCAATAAAAATTTTCTTTCCAACAAGAACCTTCTTCATGCCTAGCTCCGGAGACTTGGGATGATATTGGACCTCAAGGAACTGATCATCAACCGCATCAAGCACATTGACCTGTACCAGATCATCAGACTGCAAAGCAGTGAAGCGAAATGCAATCGGGTCAATTATTTTTTTATTAATTGCCCAAATTTTGTCCCACTCCATGAAGACAACAGACCTTGAACCACCCTGGGAGATGATGAACTGCTTCAAGCCCTCGACTGTCAATCCATGTCTGAGGATTCCTCTTACAGTTGGCAGTCTAGGGTCGTCCCAGCCGTCAACCAAGCCACTATCGACGAACCACGTCAACTTTCGCTTCGACAAGACAGTGTTGGTCATATTTAATCTCGAGTATGCCCAGATGTAAGGACGTCTTAATTTTAGAGCTTCTATGAACCAGAAGAACTGAGGATCTCTGTCAGTGTACTCTGTAGTTCTCAGAGTATGAGTCACACCTTCAATTGAATCTACTATTGGACAAGCAAAATCATACGTAGGATAGACTTTGTACTTGTTTAAAGTTCTGGGGTGTGACTCGGGCTTGCACCGGTAAATTGTCGGGTCTCTCATGCACCCGTTGGCTGATGCAAAGTCTATCTTGGCTCTAACGCAACAAGTCTGACCTTTTTCGGTTCCTTTCTTCATTTCTTCCCACAGCTGAAGATTTTTTTCTACTGGGTTGTTGCGACTCTTCGAAGGCTCTTTCTTGTCACGCTGCTCTTTCATAACTTCTGCTGGAGTGTCATCTACAAATGCTTTCCCTTCTCGGATCAACTGCTCGCAGTACTTTAACATAAGTTCGAAGTAATCTGAAGTGTGGGTGAAACGATCTGGTTTTATTTCCAGGAGTTTGAGGTCTTCGAGGATTTCTTGCTCAAATTCTACAGTCTCCTTTGCGGGGTTTGTGTCATCGAATCGCATTATCAAAGTACCTATAGTGAAAATTTAGATTTTTAATTGATGTACATGATTTTTTTAAACGAATAAATATTAATAAAAATGTGGACAATAAAGAAAAATGTTTATTTCTTAGAATTTTTTTGTGAAAATGTGCTAAGAAATAAATATTTTTCATTGTCCAAGTTCTTGATACTCTGAAGAGTTTGATTATTAATTATTATTATAAATTAGAAGTTACAATGTGACTTCCGTGATTTGTGAATGATAAATAAATAAAATTTTGCTTGTTAAATAATGACTTTTGTAAAATTGTAATGTACTTTCTTTAATATTGATGATTTTTAAGATATAAGCTCATTATGATGTTACACTCATCAAGAGCTTTCATTTGAATATCCACATGCATTTTTATATATTTTTCATATATTTATATACATATATAAATATATGAAATATATGAAAAATTAATGTGGGTATTCAAATGAAAGGTCTGGATGAGTGTAATTCCGGGGTGAGCTTATATCTTTAAAAATGTCAATACTTAACAAGATACAAGGTTATTTCTTAACTATTAACATTTTTAAAGATATAAGCTCATCTCGATGTTACACTGATCAAGAGCTTTCATTTGAGTACCCACATGGCAATTTTTATATATTTTATATATATCATATTTGTGAAATATATAAATATATGAAAAATTGATGTGGGTACTCAAATGAAAG